TTCCAGATGGAGACTGACCCCTCCACACCCTGTCTTCTGTTTCTAAGGCCAGAAGCAGTGCTTGAGCCCTTCATGTAGGATATATGTAATAGAAGCCACCTCCGGGCGAGTGCAAACAGGAGCACCTCCCCTGGGCAGGTCAAGGAGGTGTGGGGGGAGGAGAAAGGGACAAACTAAAACAAGGGAAAGGATCAGATGGGGACCGCACACTATATAAACACATAAAAGGAGGCGATGTTAGTGGAATACTACGCAGCTATAAAAAGGATGAGGAATGTCACCACTTACTAATGTGGAGGGGTCTCCAGGATGTATTTACTATCAAGTGACAAAAGCAAGGTGGAGAAGGGCGATTGGACTGGCTGCACCCACAGATGGTAGGAGGGCAGCTGGAAGGTGACTGACACAAGAAAGTGGCCAGGCCAATGGACTGAGGAAGGGAGACTTCGATAAGGGAAGAGAGCTGCTGGTGGGAAGGCTGGGGCAGAGCCACACAGGGGGAATTCTGCAGGTGGTAAAGGGGCCTGCCACCTGGCAACACCACCCCAAAGGGGCTGACTGGCCATCTGTGCTGCTTCCAGGTACCACTGTCACTGAGTTCAAATCTTTGCCCCTAAACCAAACCAGGAAAAAAGTGAGAACAGCATTAAAAACAAGCAATCTAGAACTATTCTAAAACAAAAAGTTTATTAACACGCACAAGCTAAAAAAAGCTACATTACCAAAACATTTAGGTTGGTTTTAGGGAGTCTTTCACAAAGCTAGAAGATTTATCTATCCAATGCACAGATTCAGAATAAGATCAACATTTTTCACTACTGAATCAAATCCTGGTGCCAGCCGGAGCCACCACTGCATGGCCTCACTGGACAGGACCCCTGGGGCCCCACCCACACACTTGGTGCCCTCAGCAAGTGGGTGACGGTTACCCTCTTTTCTAATGTTGTGACAAGTTGAAGGACACATTTTCTTTTAATATCTTTATTTACAATAGTGGGAGCCTGTGCAGATGCCAAAACATATTTTATTACCACCTTCTTTGGAGAGACCAAAATAACCACCAAGAAGACATCTACCCCTGGGTTGGATGGGACTTGGGCATAACCATCTGAGACGCAGTCAGAGGAGCCATGCCGTCTTCCAACTTGGAGAGCCCCACCCTGGCAAACCTATTGGAAAACATCACCCCTTATTTCCAAAAGGACAAAAGCAACACCACAAAACTCTAATCTGGTGCTGGGCCTGGAAGCAGACTCGTCCAACACAGAAGGAGTAGCTTCTCACCACCTCTACAAGGTGCGCTGACAGGAGGGGCCAGAGAAGGCAGAGGCAAAGGGGCGACAGGGAGCAGAGGGTGGGAGAAGGAGGGGCCAAAGGCATTCCTGCAAGGCACGGCTACCCTGTCCACAAAAACCACACATGGTGCTCACAAGAGCCCTCAAGCATGGGCCGAGGAATCTGCAGTGAAAACAAAACTGCACTCAACTGCATTGTAGATTGCCCTTTTCATTCACTTTTATTCATTGTTCGAGAAACATCCATCCACTCCTTAGCCGAGGTTTGCTTTAAGATCAAGTGACAACCATTTACAGCCTCTTTCCCAGGTAGCCAGCACTGTGCTTGTCACTAAATGGAGCTAAGTCCAGAGGCAAAGACTTGAGACACAGGCCTTGGTCTCAGAAGGAAGACACCGGGGATCCGTGTCAGCTGGGCGCCGGAGACCGGGCACTTACCAAGCTCCCAAGACCTAGAAGAGCCCTTCACTGAGGCACCAGTTCCCACAGGACTGTGGTGAGCCTTGAAGAGTGCTGGACAACTCTCAGAGGGATTTTGTGCGAGAGGCAACAGGTATAATTTAAGAATCTGGGTGGGCACGGATCGCACTGGTTCCAGATTTTCTCTTTCCCTAAGTTTCTAAGAGAGCATCACACTCCTTCCTGAAGCCAACAAATGTCCGGTCATTGCCCTGACGGTGAGTACAGACTGTTCCTTTGAGCTGACGAGAGACAAGTACTGTTTCTTCAGCTTCAAACCCCCGTGGTTCTGTAATTATTTTATGTTCATACAAGGCCTCCTTGACATCTTCTATTTTGGTAAAGAAAAGCTTTTGACAGTTTATCTTATTTGCTAAAGGGGAAGCTGGACCAGAAAAGAAACCCGCCGTCTAACAGTTCCCTGGCACTGACTAAATCAATTCTATAAGGCAGTCCCCCTTCAGTAAAACTCCCCGACCCTGACCCAAGCCAGTGACTGAAAGGCCTCTTCAGGCTTAGATGTACGTGGACGAAAGAGACTGCACCTTACGTTGTATATTCAGGAAAAGCCACCTGAAGGAAATTTTCCTATATTAAATAGCTAAAATTCATGAAGAGAGATTACTATTTAAAGGAATTCTTCCTAATTTATCTGGCTGTTAAAAATTTACATATATTTAGGTAAAAGAGTCAGTCCTCCCCAACACGTTCCTGGAGGAGGCTGCCCTAAACACTGGCTGCTTACTGGTCCGGTCAGCCTGCCTGCTTCTTGGGAACTGCTGACCTGCCCTGTGACTCCGGTGGGTTCTCCAGGTCCTGCCATCACTCCTGCTGTGGGAGAGGGCAGCACGTGACGGGCTGCTCACTCAGGGTCCATGCCGAGTCTCGAGTGGTAGGGACAACGAGGGCCTGGGAGTCACCCCCTTACCACTACATGGAAAGGGTCTGCCTAGGAACACAGCAACATAGAGGGAAGCCAAAAGACACAGGCCCTGACAGGAGGCCATCAGCTCCTGGATGTGTCCACACCAGCCTGGGATTCCCTGACATATGAGCCAACATGTTTTCTTTTTTGTGTATGCGGGGGTAAGGTAGCCAGTCCAGTGGCTCAGCCCCTGGATGCCTGGCAGGCTGACTGCCACGCCTGAACTGTGTGCTGGGCACCCTGACCCACGTCACTGCAAAGCATGACCCTGCCTTTGCCAGGGCCCTGAAGACAAGAGACTGCTTTAAGAAGCAACATAGCAAAGATCTCCCCAAACTGGTCTAGAGATGCAATGCAATCCCTATTGGAATGCCAATATGCTTCTTCAATACAATTGGCAAGCCGGTTCTCATACTTTCAGAGCAGAGCAGAGATCCATGAAGAGGCAACACACTCTTGAAGAAGAGGAAGGTAAGAAAACATGCCCTGTCAGGTATCAGGTATCAAGACTTAAGTTAGAGCTATAATGAGTAAGACAATGTGTTATTATGCCACGGACAGACAGGTAGATCAACGAGACATGGCAGAAAGCCAAGAAAGAGACCACAGAAAGCAGGCAGGTGAGAGGGAGACACTGCAGATAAGCAGGAAAGGAGGAGTCCTTCAGCCACTGGAGGAAGGACAGCTGGTTACCCAAAGGGAAAGAAAGAAACTTCATCCACTTCTCACATCACATACAAAACCAGTTTCAGGAGGATTATAAACTTAAATGTACAAAGCAAAACTTAAAACGTTTAGATAAAGAGATAAAAGAATATCTTTATGATCCCTAGGTAGGGAAGAACTTCTTTAAAAAGATACAAGTGCTAACCATAAAAAAAAAGACTACATTCAAATTAAGAGTATCAGTTTATGACGAATCACCACCATTGGAATGCAAAGATAAGCCACAAACAGGGAGAGGTATTTGCAATATGTGTAATACATAAAGGATATATAAAGAACTTCTATAAACAAGCTGTAGAAAAATGGGCAAAAGACACAAATAGAGCATTTAACAAAACAGGAAGAACCAAGCAACAAACGAAGATGCCCACCTCCTTGGTCATGAGGGAAAGGCAGAGAAGGCCAATGAGATTCTCTGTTACACTCACTAGGCTTTCCAATTCACAACTGCCAGGTGACATGACATACAAGGGACAGAGGGACGGCCACAAATGATACCACAAGGAGGCAATCAGTGGAGAAAGTGGCTCTCCCACCATGCGATTGCTTAGTGGTGGTGGGCTGCTACTTTATTATGCTGTCCACCACAGCAGTCATGGGACACGTGTAGCTATTGAAAAGTAAACTAATGAAAATTTAAAAATCAGTTTTTCAGTCACACTGAGCCGCATTTCAAGTGCCCCACAGACTCAGATATGGAACTTTCCATCACTGCAGACAGCTCTCATGGAAGCCGTGCTTTATACCTTACGTGTAGCAAATATGCATAATAAAACATTTTTACAACGCTCACATGGTAAAACATTCTTCAATGAAGAGCTACACTGCATTTTTGTCTTTCAATTGTCAGAAACAAATTCAAATTAATCTAGATAGTCACAAAAAAAGAATGGGGCTTTACAACACTTACTCCCCTTACTCCCATGAATAACCCCAATAAATCAAGCCTCTAAAAGATGTCTTCTTCTGTCACCTGTGGGGAGTGACTCAGCACAGCCTGGGGTGGGGCCGGGTTGCCCACTCACCAGGCTCTGCTCGATGAGCAGGCAGAAGAGGACAGCGTTGCCCACCTCCCGCAGGTTCTGGAAGCACACCGTCTTCAGCTCTGCATACTCAACGATGTCCTTCAACTGGTGGTGGAAGAACTCCAGGATGCCTGCAGTGGCAGAGAGTGAGTGGTGGGGTTGGGAGAGGTTGGAGGGGCTGAGCCTCGGCAGGGCACAGGGTCCAGCCTGGGCTTCACAGCCAGGAGACCTCTGCAAGCCACAAAACATTCTCTGACACTGCCACCATGCCCGCTATGGAGATGACCACAAGTCACCTCACCCCAACATCTTCCCTGCAACAGTAGTTTGTCTACCACCTGGGCCCTGGGCCTCGGCTCCAGGGCTTCTTTCTTGGTCAGGCTGTATCTTCCAAGGAGGCACCACATTACAAGAATAAATGAGAAAGACCACACTGTCATCTCCAGCAGAGGCAGAAACAATATTTGATAAAATTCAATATCCCTTCACAGGCATAGAAAGGGATGTAGTCAATCTCATCAGGGATGTCTACAAAAAACCTGCGGCTAACAGCATATTCAGTGGTGAAACCTGCAAGCTTTCTCCCTGAGCTCCAAAGCAAGACAACGCATCTTCACCATAGTCCTCGAGGCCCTGGACATTGTAATAAGGCGTGAAAAGACACAAGGTATAAAGACTGGAAAGAAAGTCAATATTCCCTCACTTGATCTATACTTTCAATGCTGACCCAGTCAAAAATCCACAAGCTGACTCCAGAATTTATATGGTCATGCAGAAGACCTAGAATAGCCAGAAGAACCCTGAGAAGAATAAAGTGGGAGATCTACCAGATTCCAAACCCTCATCCCAACAGGTCGGGCCTTGAATGCCATTCCACAAGGACCCGCATTGCCCTGACTGCCTGAGAGGCTCTCCCTTCCTCACCATGTCCACACCTCTGTTCTCAACATTCCTTGGTGTGAACTCATCCCTCTAGGGGAAAAAACACTCCTTCACGTGTGTCATCCCCCAACAGGCACATATGAGCGGGACCTGTCAGCAACATGGCTTTACCCACGAGGTGGTGCCCATGTACCTGGGCTATACCAGCCTCTGTGCCGACACCGGGTGGCAGTGGGCAAGAGATGTGACGAGCAGCCCTGCGGTCCACAGCTCTGCCCTAGACCAGCTTGGAATTTGGCCTAAATGGCTTCATCTTCAACATTTAAAATTCCCATCTCTAGTCAGGATATGAGCACTAGTTTTATTTTCCCGGCATTACTCATCTACTTTCTGACAATGAATTAAAGTTAAGTTCTCCTAAGCAAGGCCACACCAATGGTTATTTCCCTTCACAGTGGCTCAATGGGTCGTGTCACCATGTCCTCAAACACAGGAACAGCCCTGTGCAGGTACTGGGCACCACCTGGGAGCTCAGCCATACCAGCCGACTACTCATCAGAACGTCTCTCATTGGTGACCATGAGTGGACCCAAGTCACTTAATGAGACAGCTGTCCACCTTTCAGGAAAGTGTTATAAGATAGGAGACAAAAGGCAGTTTTCCTAAGAGACAAGGGCTCCCATGGTCCAATTTTATCCTGAACAATACTTCTGGGATCATTAGGCTGTTTATTTGGATAGCCCCAATCAGCTTCTGTCAGGCACATGGGCCTGGCACCCTGAACGGCCCATCTGTCCTAGAGCCCCACAGCTCCAGAAGGGAAGCCTGCCCTACAGAGGGACAGACTGCACTGTGGGAAAGCAGTGCCTTCATGGGGCGCCCTTGAGGCCTGGTCCCGTCAAGCCCAGCAGAGCAGTTGGACTGGGTAGTCAGCTTCCTGCCCCTCCCTGGGTTGGTGATCTTCACGGTCCTGGTGTTGTGGGGGAGCTGAGGGGCACAGGGTTCAGAGCCCTGTTACCCGTCGACAACTAAGAGGCATTGGCTTCTCCCACAGCTTCCTCCCCCCAAAACGGTGACTCCAACACACCTTCGGCACACCTGCCCCAGCTGACAGGCTGGTCTGTTTGTTCTACTGGAAACAATCAAGCTCTGCATGGGCTCCTGCCTCCTCCCACCCGGGGAAAGCGGGTGAGATCCATGTCAGTAACGCTCTTTACTGTGGCCTGAGGGCTGACGTTCGCCCTCCCCACCATACCCAGGGAGGCACCATGCTCACCGGGAGAGCCGTACTCATGCCGGGGCAGGCGGCAGATCTTGGGCATCACCTCCATCAGCGTCTTCACATACTGCAGGATCGTGCCTTGCAGCTGTGGGAGAGACAGGCTGTGTGAGCCTCCGGCTGCCACTGTCCTGGAGGCTGTGGGCAGTGCACGGGGACTTCTGAGAAAGAGTCTGTTAGTAAAACATCTGGTTATGCCCAGGACTGAGAATCACTTTGGCTGAGAAAGGAAATTCCATCCACAAAAAGAAAGCAGCTTCCACCAGGGTGACTTGACACAACTGACTAAATGATGTTCTAAAACACAACTCCCCTTTCAGGAGGCAAGTGGCCTGACACATTTCTCAGAATGATACATTGTTAAGCAACACATGACTGTATTCTAATTGGTTTTTGATCGTGACCTACACAGTTGCAGATTTTGTCAACTTCTCAGAATTTTGTCAGCTTTTGCTTTGCACTGCTAATGATCGTATCATCTTCCTGATGGATAGCTATTTTACTTATGTGGCCATAAACTCTGCTTCAAGCTTCCTCTTGACTAGTATGTGAATCATGGAAAAGACATGAAAATCTATATTTGGCAATAAAGAACATTAAAGAAATGGGCTTGATACCGGCTCAACACAAAGTTGACATAAGGGAAGCCATACTGTAGAAAAGAAACCATAATATAACTTTGAATGACCTCTGATTAACTAATCCAGACATGTTGTGTAGATTTTATGGCCCCTCCCAGCTGCTATAAGTTGATAACTTAGTTCTTTTGAGTTCCTTAGGAATCTGATGACCCTGGGGCAGAGAGTCTCTGCTGATAGCCACCGTCAATGACAACTGAAAGACCAGGGTATAGGGCATTGCTCCAGTCTCTGATGCACACCCACTAAAACAAAAAACTGTCAGGAACTAAGAAAGACCAGATGCCTCTCCAACCCAGAGACCAGCCCCATATATAACTGGCCTGTAGTCCTTGTTCTGTAAGACGGTTCTTTGGGACATTAGTCGGCCACCTTTCTCCTTGCTAGCAAGCTGTAATAAAACCCTTTCTCTCCTACCACCTGCCTCTTGACTACTGGCATGTCTTGCAGCAGGCAGACAACCCCTCTTGGGCGGTAAGAGGCCCAGTCACAGAAAGATGATTAAGGAAAAAAAGATTAAAGATCGAGATTTTATAAAGTTTTCTTTCAGTTAAAAACAGAAATAAATTATGCATAGAAAACTAAATCCATGATAACCTACAAATATTCTCTCTCTCCCTTTTCAAAAGGACAAATAAAAGACTTTCCTGCACTAACTTCTCACCTCAGTCTGAAGTTAGACAGACGAGTATCTGAATCCTTCATTGCGACTTCACCCCAGCCCCCAGCAAAGGGGCACATGCCGTCCACCCTACAAGTGGGAATTGGCTCTCTCAAGGTAACGGGAGCCTTTGAGCAGCAGTGGTATCCTGCCAATACCACCACCTCAAAGCTGAGCCCCCTCTGCCCTTGCTCAGCCCTCCCCCATCAATAGCTCAGACTCCTCGTGGCCAACACGCTCGACTCCACTTGCCCCAGCATAAGTGTTTCTTTGAAATGTTTGTTTTAAGAAAACTCCTATTTCACAAATGAAAATAGGGGTCTTCGCAGAACTGTCTCCTCCCAGATGCTCACCAACTGAAACACAAAGGCTTTCTATAGTGCCCTCCTGGTTTCTGTTTTGTCTTCCATCTCCAGAGCACTGTCTTTTCCTACAAGTTTTGGGCAACAGCGGTGGTCCTTTACAAAAGGAGTTGAGGGGAGACTATGCGTATAAAGGATAATATTCTCTTACAAGAAAGGCTCTATTTTGGTACTGACAAATAGAAATGGCAAGCAATAGGATATATTGGAGTATATGAGGAAGCCATTTGCTGTAAACCTAATTTGGCCTGACTTTGTTTTTTCAAAAAGGGCCTGGCGGTGGCCATGGAGCACGCACTGTATATCTGCTTTAAACATTTACTATGGCAAGAACAAACGGCCTTAAGATAAAGGTGCAACTTCCCCCACATTGGCATTTTCTTAAGGATAAGCATCTTTCCTCAGGCTAGGAACTGATTGCTATGCTCACCTTTGACCACCCAGCTCACCTGTGACCACCCAGCTTGACACAACAGACCTGCCACCCTGCTGTGTCCACAGAGACAGCAGACCTACCTGCTGTGTCCATCAATCGCTGTGCTGACAGAGCAGTCTCGTGACTATTGTGAAAGGGACATTTCAATCATATGAGAAAGATCCTCTTTGGGGGTATATAACCACTCTGTATACCTCACTTCTTTGGTGCCCTTTCTACCGTCAGGAAGAAAGGCCCCGGGCCATGGTCCTCAGATTTTAGCTCAGAATAAACTCTCCCAAATTTTCATTTATAGATTGCTGATGGATTATTTTCATCAACAGTACTTAACTTTTTCTATGACTTAGTTAAAATAACATGGATCTTCTCTTGAATTAAGAAAGATGGGAGAGAAATCAAACTGTGTATGTTTGGAGCTAAACTGAACAGTCCAGATACAAAGACTCCCTGGTTTGTTCTATCTCAGTGAATTCAAAGCCTTGTGTGATTTATAATAAGAAACATGTATTTGGTCTTTGTCCCCATTTTCTGGCACAGAACTCCTAAAACCCTTGGAATTTCCTAAGTTAAGTGAGCCTTAAAGGTATCTTTTGTTATGTTAATGAGGTGACTTTGGAAAGCATCTAAGGCTGGGGCTGGTTGCCAGGAGAACCAACCACCTGATCAGAAGGTTGGAACTTTCAGTCCCATCCCCAGGCCTCCAGAGAGGCCAGAGGGACTGGAAGTTGAATCAGTCACCAACGGCCATTGATTTAACCAAGCATGCCTATGTAATGAAGCTTCCAAAAAATCCAAAAGGACAAGGTTCAGAAAGCCTCTAGGTTGGGGAACCGGAATGCTTCCATGTGCCACTGTCCCAGGCCCCAAATTCCATGAAGACTGAAGCTCTTTTGTGTCTATCTCTTCATCTGGCTGTTGATTTATATCCTTTAATGTCCTTTGTAATAAACTGGTCATCTAGTGAGTAAACTAGTTTCCTGAGTCATGTGAGCTGCCCTAGCAAATTAATCAAACCCAAGGAGGGGGTTGTAGAAATCTCTGATTTACAGCCAGTCAGTCAGAGGCAAAGGTGACAACCTGGACTTGCAATTGGCACCTAGGGGAAGAGGGGCAGTCTTGTAGGACTGAGCTTTAACCTTTAGGATCTGATGCTATCTCTAGGTGGACAGTGTCAGAATTGAGTTGAACTGTAGGACACACGGCTGGTGTCTGAGAATTGCTTGGTGGAGTGAAAAACCCCCTCTCTACATTGGAATTGGGTGCAGAACCCTTCACTGGGTGAAGGAAGCACATCAGAGGGAAACATACCAGGCTCTTGACAACCTTCAGCAGCTCCTCCATGACCACTGCAATGCCCTGGTATCCAAGCAGCCGGCAGATGACCTGGAAGTGCGGAGGTCCCACAAAGTTCCGGTAGCTGCCGTAAATGCTAGAGTAGGCCAAGTTCAAAGCCTGGGGGATAGAGAACATAAGTGTCTGATGAAATCTCCAGAGTCCTCAACATGGTCCCTACACACTCATGAAGATAAAGAATTATTATGCAAAGATGCACTCAACACACGGCACCCTTAGGTGGAGAGATCCAGAGAATCTGTTAGACTGCCTTTACTAGTATTTATGTCTTCAAACTGAAGACATGAAAAGCAAGCTTGCTAAAACAAAGAAAACAAAACAGTTTGGTTTTTCAACATTTATTAAACTGCCAGTTTTAAAGAAGCCATTTTGAGGTCCCAGAATGAGAAATGAATACATCTTAGAGCCTCACTGCTGTTCCATGGAGCTGCTCCCAGTCTACTGGGGGAGACACCCAAGGACAGACCCTGATGAGGCCATGGGAGCTGCCTTCTGAGAGATGCACAGGCAGCTGGGAACGGCAGTCCCTGCAGGGTGGGCAACTGAGAAAGGTAGTCAGGATGGTCTCCTGTAGGAGGGAACCTCCAAGCTCATCTGAGGACACGGACACATACTCAGCAGGGAGATCACTAATATATGCATTCAGTGCTATGTACTTCCCTCTCAGAAACTCTTTAGCTGCATCCCACAAATTTTGATATATTTGCATTTCATTCAATTCAATGCCTTTTTTTAAAAATTTCTCTTGACACTTCCTCTTAATCCATGGAACATTTTAGAAATGTGTTAGGAGATTTTTCTTGTCATCTTTTTGTTACTGATTTCTAATTGGAGCTCATATGGTCAGAGAACACACTGTGTACGATTTCAATTCTTTTTTTTTTTGGTGAGGAAGATTCGCCCTGAGCTAAACATCCATTGCCTATCTGTTGTTTTTTCCTGCTTGAGGAAGATTAGCCTCAAGCTAACATCTGTGCCAATCTTCCTCCACTTCGCATGTGGGATGCCTCCTCAGCATGGCTGCTGAGTGGAGTAGCTCCACACCTGGGATCTGAACTCACAAACCTGAGCTGCTGTACCGGAGTGTGCAGAACTTTAACCACTCAGCCATGGGGCCGGCCCCTGATTTCAATTCTTTTAATTTTGTTGAGGTTTGCTTTATGGCCCAGGATATGGTCTATCTTAGGGAATGCTCCACGGGCACTTGAAGAGAACGTGTTCTGATGTTGTTGGGTGGAGTGTTCTATACATGTCAGTAATATCCTGTCGGTTGATTGTGTTCAGTTCTTTGTTGCTGATTTTTCTGTCTACCTAGTCTATCAATTACTAAGGGAGAAGAACATGGAATTCCCCAACTATTATTGTGGAGTTGTTCATTTCTCCTTTCACTTAAGTTAGTTTTTGCTTCAAGTAGTTTGAAGCTCTGTTGTTTGGAGCATAAACATTTAGGATTACCATATTTTCTCAGTGGCTTGACCCTTTTATCATTATGTAATGTCCCTTTTTGTCCCTGGTAATAGTCTCTGCTCTGAAATTTACTTTATCTTGTATTAACATAGTCACTCCTGCTGTCTTCTGAGTAATGTTTGCATGGTATATCTTTTTCCATCCTTTTTCCTTCAACCTACACATATCACTAATTTTAAGTGAGTTTCGTGTACAGTCATGTTTCTTAATTCTCTCTGCCAATCTCTCTTTTATTTATACCACTTACATTTAATACACTTACATATAATTCTTAATATTTAAGTGGGCTCTGTTTCATTTTCCTGTCTTCCCTATGGGTCACTTAAACATTTTTTAGAATTCCATTGTGATTTACCTATAGCATTTTTGACAGTATCTCTTTGCACACATCTTTTAAGTGGTTGTTCTAGGTCTTACATTATGCATTACATAAGTTATCACAATCTACTGTTATCAACATATTACCACTTTTTGAGTGAAGTATACCAAGCTTACCTCCATTTAGGTCCCTGTATTTCCCACATCCCTGTTTTATAATTATCTTAGCTATTTCCTCTGCTACACTGAGAACCACAGAAGCTCTGCAAAGTGCCTGTCACATGTCCACTCCTATGACCGTATCAGACTTGAAAGGACCATATTTCAATCATTGGGTCAGACACACACTACCTCCCACTGCCTCTTCCAAGCACCACACTGTGCTTTAAGTGCTGGGATTCTGTGTGAGGTTTTTGCTTGATAATAAGTTCTAATGCTTGAAAAGAAAAACACAAAAATCACTACTGAAATCCAATAGCCTCAGGTTACAAGTGAGAAAATTCACTTGGAAAGTCACCCTGACTTGCTTGGGGCCTATGGCTCAATAATACCTGCTTCCTGGCCCCTCGGCCAGTGTCTGACTTCCCTGCGAACTACACTCATCCCAAAGATGGCAGATGCTAGGGACAACACAAGTTGAATAATGTAACTACTCAGAGGGAGGGGAGGAGGAACTACCTACAGATACTACATGGTAAAATACTCAGAGGAGGGAAGCACTCTGGACATCCACGCTTACAGCTCAGTTCAAGAAACACTGCTGGCCATGTCTGATGCAGAGACGTGGGCCTTGCCTGGAAACCGGAGTATGTGGGCTCCAGACTCATGAGTTGTGTGCCTTGGGTTCCCTAACACACTTGACGCTGTGCAACTTCAACTGTCAATCGGGTACAGTCTTACTTACCTTATAGGAAAGAGTATCAGTGATGTCCTGAAGAGAGTTCACTCAGAGTGGTGATATTACCAAGAACCAAAAAGATAATGCCATAAATGGACCACTCATCTAAGTCAATTTTATTTCCATAAGACACTAGCTCTAGTTCATCATTCACAAAAAAAAGAACTAGTTGGATTTTTGATTGGATTCCTGGGTATTCCATAATCTCACAGGTACAAACACTATAAATTATATTGCAGCAAAATGACATGCAGCTGACAGGTTTGAGCACTTCAAATAAAATGACTGTCCTTCGAATACAACATTCAACTCCGATATCATGATGTTTCAGCGTTCCGCCTTTTTTTGATCCTCAAAAAAGTGTCATATAAGATGAACAGTCAACATCAATGTCACCCATCCAAACTTTTGTTAGAGTCCAAATAATCTAACAAAAATATTGGTTTAGGTTATGAGAATAAAAATGACACAATCATAATTTCTCAAACTAAGGCTGAAATCTGTAAGTTCAAGTTCAGTCACGTCTGGTTGCTTTAGAAAGAACAATCAAATCCAATTCATCTAATCTTTCCTTCCCCCTAAATGGGCACCTGCTTTGCTCCAAAAGTGTCTGTGCCCCTGTGGACACACAACATGTGAATGCAGACCCCGGGCTACTCAGAAACTGTGGGCTCACAGCTTTGCCACATGGGAAGCTGAAACACTGCCGTCTCCCTGCATTCCTGGAGGAAAACCCTGCAGAATGAAAATGTGTCTCCTGTGCCTTTAATACGATGATGGACACAGCAGGATGGACACAACCGTGCTGGAGGGGAACTTCTTTTGAAACCAACCACACAAGCCAGGAATCCACCCCTTCGAGACCAAGAGGGAGGCTGGCCTGACACCCCTATGGCTAGATGCTGTGCAGATCAAGGGGGCAATCACCAGCGTCCACCTTTCCTCACTGCTTGTTATCCTCTCCAAATGCTGGGGCAGGGGAGGAACTGGAGGACAGAGAAGGGAAGAACCACCTCATTTCTTGGTTCCTCTTTCCCATGGACACTTCTGTTTATTACAATGCAATAAAAACTTTCTTTTGTGGTCATGCCTAAGAGCAGGATTAAAAATTTCAGAGCCAAGCCAACTTCATAGCAAATCTTTTAGTTAGCAGAAACCCAAGAAATTTCTATCTTACCTGCCAAACTTTCTAGTCCTAACTTCTAAAATTACATAAAATTTCTTTTAGTTCTGAGGAGGTAAGGCACTATATTTTAATTTCAGAAAAGGGGCATTAGAGCACTTATTCTAATCCTTTTAAAAATAATCTAACTCACACCCTTTCCGAGGGGCAGAGAGGTGTGCAGTGTGCACCAACACACCAGCCTGGATTCTAGTGCTTGCCCATTTCCAAGCTGCAAATGCTCCCAGTACGGCCAAGTTCAAGCTACCGTCTGTAGTGAGGCAGGCGGGCAACCCAGAGGACGGACATGAGAGGTTCACACTCTAAGGAACAGAGAATCAGGAAAGAATGGGTTAGAAACTCCTTTTCTAATTCTCAGATCCAGCTGGCACCTTAGAAAGTGTCCTGGTGCACGCTGTGTTGGGGTGGCAGCCCACTGGCTCTCAATCTACATCCTGGCCTCTGTCATCCCCAGTTTGAAAGACAGGATGGGTGCACCTGGGTCTATCCCTGTTGCCAGCCTCACTCAACCAGCAGCTCAGAGAGCATGAGAATGGGGTCCGTAGAGTATGGGTGTCACTTAGGGTTGGAGAAGAGGCAGTCTGGTAACTTCCTGGACCTCATGTCCCACCACAAGCTAGTGTCATCTGTCCAACCTGAGGGGCCTCCCAGTGAAGGTGCTTTCATCTCCCACCTCCCTTCTCTAAGGCAGGAGCCACTGGGGACCCCTCTGCAGGTGAGAAATCTTTGGCTAAGAGGGAGGAAGGAGGAGGGCAGAGGCGTCAGGCCCCCACCTGCATTTCACCAACCTGAGCCTCCCTCTCGCCCTCCAGGCCTCGCTGGCCATATGCCCAGACCCATGGGGCCAACAGGGGGGCCCTTCCCTTGTCCAGCCTAGGCTATCTGGCTCCTGGGTGCCTGTGGGGGCCTCGCCAATGCCTTCAGGCCTCTCCAGAGCAAGGCCTACACCCAGCTCCTGCTGCGCCAAGAACTCTGTTCCCTGACTGAGGCCAGCATAGCCTGCGACATAGCACACTCTCAGGAAATGCTTGCTGAGTACACCCTGAGACTGTGACTGCAACTTGATATCAGTACAAAGAATACCACTACTTAATACTAAAAAATGACACTCTGTCCAGAACACAGCAGATGGGACAGTGACACCTAGCCTTCTTCATTCTTGGTCATCATCACAAGGCTTGGAACAGCCAGCTAAACCCTGACACTAACTGAGGAGAGCCGCATGATCCCCTAACCCATCCCACACCCTTCCGGTGTTCCCACCCCAACCTCAGCCAATGGGAGATGGTGCAAGGCCAGCCTGGCTATGGCTGAATGGACCCTTAGCAGGGCAGTGTCCTCGCTCCTCACAGCAGCGCGGGCAGCCCCAGGAAGGGGAGTGGACACAGGCCCTGAGATGAAGGCCTCTTGCCTTTATCTTCCTCAAATCTAGCCCTCTCTTATTTCAAAAAGTGGCACTTCCATTCCCTAACCACCAGGAACCTAGGAAGTAGCACTGGGTCTTCCTTCTCCCTCACCCTCCATCTCCAGGTCGGAAGTCAGTTCAGTCAAGTCCACCCCTAAAATACACCCTGAATCCATCTACTTCTCTCCATCTCTGTCAACATCATGTGGTCCAAGCCACCATCTCCTGCCTGGCCTAAAATAACATCTTTCTACCGGGCATCATTCTCTGCCTACTCCCTGACCTGCCTCAGGCCTTGGCCCCTCGCCGGGGCCTGAATGCCCCACACTGCCTGCCATCCCGACAGCCTTGGCCTCCAGGCCCCTCTGCAGGGCTGGTCCCTTCTCAGCATCCAGATCCTCCCAGAGTGAGACCGCCCCTGAGACCACCCAAGGCTCTGTCACACCAGTCCCTTTCACAGCATTCCCAGGAGCCAGCACAGAGAGCACACATTTCCTCCCGAGTGCGCAACACAAATAGCATCACTTTCACCTTGAATTCCACGTATTCTTGTAAAACACAGGCAGTTTCTATTTTTACCAACACTGCTTTCCCTTTCCTCTCAAATGTATCCTCTGCTAAACACTCAGGCTCGTCCCAGCAACGCATCTGTCATTTCCTTCTTGGCTAACAGGCTGAAGATTTTAAATGGACACATTAGCTTACAGAGTGTTGGGATGCTGTGATAAAGATAGCAGTGGGCAACCAAAGGGCCCTTTTGCGAGACACGCCATGATGGACATTAGGAGCTTGGAGACGCTGGAGGGAGAGGAGGCCAGGGTGTCTCTCCAAAGACTAGTCAGAAAGGAAAGACTGATGAGCCAAGACCCCTCTGAGTCACAGCTGGGGGCCTGAAGAGTGGTCCTTTCATGTCATTGTGTTAATAGGTTCATTTCTGCACCTGTGAGAAGAACATTCAGAAAACATAGAGAACACGTTGCCAAATCTTGGCCCATCAGAGCTTCAGATCAGCATCAAGTGGCACCTGCTCAGAGCTACAGGCTCCCAGGTGGAGGGAGGCTGGTGTCTCTAATGGACAGGGACCGTGTGCCACTTCTGCACACAGCCTATGGGTCAAGCTGCGTGAGACTGAGGCTGACACTGACATCAGACAGAAACAGCTTAAAAAACAAGTGAGAACAATGCAAATGTATCATAGAGTTTAAGTCAGACTCAGCCCTTGGAGAGACAGCTGCTGCTTCATATTCCAATACTCTTTTCTCCGGTATCTTTCTGTAATTAGGATCACTGTGTTTGGAGTTTGATTTTTTTTTTTTTTTCTGATTTGGTTTTTCCACTTGCTCTTTGTTGGGAATTTTCTTTCTTTTTCTTTCTATCTTTCTTTTCTTGTGTGTGGGAAGGAAGATAGGCCCTGAGCTAACATCTGTTGCCAACCTTCCTCTATTTTATGCGGGAGGCCTGCCACAGCATGGCTTGACAAGCTGTGCTAGGTCTACGCCCAGGATCTGAACGAGTGAACCCTAGGCCACTGAAGCGGAGCGCGTGAACTTAACCACTATGACACCAGGCCAGCCCTTGATTTTTTTTAATTTAATAAAATACAGGCCCCAGGACCCCATAGTCAATAAGATCTATGTAATTATTTTCAACAGCTGCAATGCATTCTGCCAGACAGTAAATTGTTCTAGTATTCTTGGTGTTAAGTTGGGTACTTCCCATTTTTTATGCCAATGTTGTAGGACTACCCCCATAACAGACCTCACATTGGACTCAAGTGATTTATTTCCTCAGGTGTCTGGTTTCCTCTAAGTGAGAACATATAAACATTGATAAATGCTGGCAGATGGCCCCCAGCATCACACAGTCCCAGGTGAGCTCCTGCAGCAGCACTCAAGACAATTCCACTCCCCTACAGAAGGAGTTGGGTACCTTAACCTTTTCTGATTTGGGGCAAAATAATTCTTACTGCTGTCATTTATAATCCCTCAATTACTGATAAGGCTGGATATCTATTTTTATTTTTTTAAGTACATTTTTGGGAAATGTCTGCTCATTGCATCTGTTTCCTTCTTACTACCGAGTGTCTGTCTTTTTCTTATTAAACTCTAAGAAGGCTTTAAATATTAATAACACTAACCATTAAAATACTCATTTGTTGCTAATCCACCCACCTCAGCCTGGACACCTGTCTCATCTTACTAGATGGCAGGTATCCTGTGGTTTTCACCAGCTTGCCTTTGGTTTCTGGATGTCAACTCTCTTTCTACTTGCCCCCTCCCACCTCAACTCCTCCCTTCATGGCACCACACCGGAACTGGCCGACCAGCCCCTCCGTCACACAAGTGCCCCAAGCCTCTTCTACACACTTTCTTGGCTTGATGTTTCTAAACCTTTAAATCTGCTAACAATCTCACTTATTTTAGGTGCCAGGAGTAAGGCTGGGCCCAGCCTGCTGCCCACCACACGGCCAGAGGGCTATCCCAACACTATGTTACTTTCCAGGAAGGTGATAATAGAAGAAAACGATAGCATTTTATCACTTAGCAGTTATTAACATGGCATGATATATTTAAATCATTGCAACAAACTGATTTTAACTAAACTTCAAAATACGCTTCATTGTGAACTTAAAAATCTTAACACAAACACACAAGAACCTACCTTTGATCCATGCAAATACTGGGGTTGTGCATTAGGCTGTTTATCTCTTTGAAATTCTTGAGAAAATGATAATACTGTCCGAACAAATCTAAACAAAAAGATTTAAAAGAAAAAAAAGGAAACAAAAACAAAAATTTAACTTTTTAATTAAAAGAAATTTTTTTAAAGTTCAGCACTTTCCCATCACCCATCAATTAAATCTTCCTCCCAGTTAACTGATATAATTATCACATAGGAAAAATTCTAGGAAATCAAAAACCAGAGTATGAATGAGATATAAATATTCCAAAGTATGATAAATGTATCCAAGTTCAGGAACAGAGTGAGAACTAAGGGGTCCGTCTGAAACCACTAGACAGTCTCCAAACTCAGGGAAAATCTGGTCTGTTGTCACCAGAACCATTTCAAGCCTAAATCAGTCCTTGGACAAGTGGTCCTGACCAAGCACTCAGGCCCTGCTGGGCCTCTGGACACCACACTAACAGTGGGGACAGGAGTGGGAAAGCGGACACAGGCAGCGATGTCCAATTATTCAGATCACTAGTTACAAGCTAAAGGGAAGAATGAGCTAAGAGTTTATAACTACACTCACCTAGCCAAGAGACTGTGGCTTAAAAATGGATTAGGGGCCGCTGAAAATCAAATGCTTGGATTTTAAAGCAGAAATGCCAAACTCTGCTAACACTCAAATCAGAAGGGTTCATTTAAGCACATAAAACTTTTGCAAACAAGCATAATAAAGAAAAATATACGGATTCGCTAATTATTAAATTCTAAGACCTTGATTAAGACATATAGTGCACTTTAATAAATAAGAAAGGATGTAACTGTCAAAGTATCACCAGTACATAAAACGAACATGCGCATCTGAGGGGAGACCAGTGGCCTATAGTACTGAGTGTGTTTACACAGAAATGTCATGTTGCTGAGTGTCTGGATTTTATTGTTATCCTTTAAAGAGCGCTGAATTTTTAGGGCAGGCCATTAAATTGCTTGAAAGTCAGCTGGATCCTTTCATGATTTGTTAGGGTGGCAGAGTAATCACTGTCCCCAAGGCTGGTACCAAGGCAGGTCCTTCTGGCAATTCTATCCAATGCCTGGGTCGTCAATGAGGCTTCCCCATTCTTGCTGGTAGGGCCTCAAATGACACTCCTGGCTCTGTGTGAGCTCTGGGAATTATTCAGTTTACAGCTCCCCAGCAGTTGTGCTTTGCCTAGCCTTTTGGATTTCTATCCAATGCACACGTGGTTTAATATTCAAGCAAGGACTAAAGGGGCCTAAGTTGGTTTCAGGAGCTGTTTCTCTGTGTAGCTCTCTCCTCTCCTGCACTCTGCCCTGCAAATTCCAGCAGTCTTAGCTTCCTTGATTTCCCCAGTCTGTCTCCCCCACGAAGTAAGACTTCCAAGCTGTACTTGGTTACCCACCTCTGCACCGTGGCCCAGACAGTGCTTCCAGGAAGAAAGCCAGGGAAGTCATAGGGCTCACTTCCTTTGTTTCCTTTCCCTCAGGGAAATGTCTAATGTCTGAAAAACAACTGTTTCCTAACTTTTGTCCAGTTTTTCACTTGTTTAAGGCAAAAGAGTAAATCCAAACCCTGTTACTCCATTATCCCCAATAATTTTTGAATACCATATTTTCACTATATATATTCTCAATCTAAAGACAAAAAAATTGGAAACAAACACTGAATTCTAGTTAGCAGGTTTGTGTCTCACAATGGTAAGGATCTGTAATTCTGAAACTACTCTGTGCATTTTTGAGAACCGAGCAAATGAGGAAATATACTAAGGATAATGAAATAAGGATTCTCAGTATAGAAAGAAGTTACAAAAATACAAAAGGGGAAGACCAGAATGAACCCTGTGGTGTTGAACTGCAATTGAAGATATCACTGCAAATTCACGGTTTTAATATATAGATTAGCTTTCGAGAAACGCATGCACACACACACACATGCACATGTCATGGGTTTAACTGTATCCCCTAAAAAGATAATTTGAAGCCTTAATTACCAGCACTTCAGAATGTGATCTTATTCAGAAATAGGGTTGTTACAGATGTAATTAGTTAAGATGAGGTCATACCGGAGTAGAGTGGGCCCTCAATCCACTATGACTCATGTCCTTATAAGAAGAGAGAGACACACAGGGAAAACGCCATGTGATGACAGAGATAGAGACTGGAGTGATGCAGCTGCAGACTAAGCAAGGCTAAGAATTACCCGCCACCACCAAAAGCTGGGAAGAGTCAAGAAAAGATTCTACCCAGAGTCTCAGAGGGAGCACAACCCTGGGGACACCTGGATTTTGGACTTCTAGCCTCCAGAAGCGTGAGAAAAGAAATTTCTCTTTTAAGCCCCTAGTTTGTGGTAATTTGTTATAGCAACCAGAGGAACCCAATATAGTACACAAGTATTTCCTATCTCTGACCACCGAAAGGTTCCAGAAACAATGACACCCAAATAGCAATGAACATACCTAACACCCAGACTTAGTTTTTAAATACCAGGCTTAGTTTTAAAATACTCTCCACTAAAAGGAATCTTTGTAGAAATGATAGATTGCAAGGACAGAGCAGAAATAAGACAAACCTGGAACTTCTTGTAGGGCAGTGCTTAAGAATGATGGGGACAGCAAACAGGACACAGAAACTTGGCAGAAGGGGCTCCGCTGGCCAACCCTGGACTAATTTGAGCCACAAAAATCAAGTAATGATAGTAACAGATCATAACTCTGAGTTAGAATCCCTGAGGACTTACTGATAATAAACAAATACATAAACGCTAACATGTACAGCAGAATGCCAACTAATATATGTAGATGGAATGAAGAAGTTCAAAAATGACCATTGTTCAATCATCATACTGATAACTGATTTGGGTAAGAATCGTCAACAGCTGCTAAAACGAGTGGACCAAATTTTAACAAGGAACAGTTTATTTACAGTCTCAAATTATCTCCCTATAAATTACTTATAAATTTCAAACATAAAATGGTTAACAAGCTAGGGAGAAATCTGGCAGCCACCACCCTAACCAAGGGCAGAAGTTAACATCGCCAGTGATGGGACAAAGTGACTGAGGACACACCCTCCCTCTGTGGTCTGCTGGCCAGAGGCCTGACTCTGTCCCAACTGCTGCCCTGTCTCCAGGGTCATAGCACTGTCACACAATTATTAGCTGTCAGGTTATTTGTAAGTCACAGGCCACCCTATGCCACTCCCCAGAGTCACCAGGCAGAAGCATCAGAAATAAGCAGCAAATTAAGCAGATACGTGGAGCAACAAGTGAAGTTCTGGTTTCCCTTAAGCAGCTCTCAGAAACCCTCAGACATAGAGTTAAAATACTGGGCGGCACAGGTTTGTCTGTCTTCTCAGGTTTCCATATGTAACTTGGACACACAAAATGCTATTTTAAAACGCCTTTTCCACATCATGGAAGCTATAATGATCCCACTGGAAGACCCGTTAAAAATACAGAAGTAATGGCATTTGTCAACAGGAATGTAAAGGTGGAGGTCCCCCAAGTAAAGCAGAGCTCCTCTGGGGAGGAGAGGCCCCTGTGACAGATAGGGCTCCCTCCGAATGGCATCTCAGGGCCCAAGGAGGATGAGGTCACTTCATGCTGGCCCTTGTTAACAGATGTGCCCTGAGGGTAGCAACCCCGACATGTGAAACTAGCTCCAGATGTGATCAACTAGCTGCTCAAGGAGGGCATACAGCTCTCGAGGAGCCTCGGTGGGTAGAGCGGCCTCCTGCTGCCCAAGTAGGGCCCACTCATACTCTCCCAGGTCTTTGTGTCTGCTCCACAAACAGGAATGGTCACAGTGCCTCATGGGCCCGTGGGGGACATATGCCACAACAGACGAAGACACCCAGTGCTGTCTCTTCCGCTTGCTGTCATTTATGTTAGACGTGTTGTGTGCAATCAGGGAACAGAGGGCTGAGGTACCATCTGGTGCCTCTTCTGTTTATCTAACTGGATGCCTCAAAGTTCATCACACAGACAGTTCCACCAAGGCCCTACAGTCAACGCTGGCCTGGAGGTTTTCGACTCTCCGTCAGGTCACTGGGTTACACAGCGCCAACTTCTTGACCTGAGCCCTGGCAACTCTGTCTTTGAGAGTGAGACTCCTGCTGCCAGCAGGTCAGATGGCCTTGGACGGTGGGATGTTCTCCATCATCAGCCCCAAGCAGGGTGAGGACACCCACATGAGCCAACTTGGCAGGCGGGGCCTCAGAATCTGATCTGTTTCCCTAGCTCCACACTCCTTACCCAACTTTCGTTCAGAAGCCTGGAGTGTCTTTCAGAAAACACAACAACTCAGCAGAAGGGTTCAGGGCACCTGCTGAATGTCATCACCACGTAACCCTGACCTTCCCCCGCGGGCCATCACCCCTCTTCATTTCTCAGGGCTCCACCCACTGACCTGTCACCAAGGAGACCAGGACAGGCCAGAGCTGTGTGGACATACTCAGTGCAGCAGGCACACAGGGAACATCTTCAACTGTTCCCAGATCTCTGGGAAATCTTTTAAAGGATGACAAAATGCTAGATAATCAAAAATACCATCTAAAATAATACAAAAAATCACAACTCCCTGTGTTGCCTGATTCTGACCCCATTGGAACACCTTTTCTCAGCCCACTGACAGTGGGGTTCTGTTACACTTCACCTTTGGAGATGCCAGTTCTAACATGAGGCAAAAATGATTTAAGGAAAGCTAACAGAAATCACTCCCAAAGGTTTCAATGGACCAACCAAAACAAAGAGAACCCTGCGAACACTGGCCATCGCTTAAACGGATTCTCAGATGCAGAAGGAGCATATACGCATCCTCACTAACACAAAACGATGCTCCTCCTGATACGTCACCTGGAAAAAGAATGTGTATATAACAGTATGCCTAATAGCACCCATTTGTGCAAAATAAAAATACCTATGCATGTTTAACTGTATGGCAAAAACTCTACAAGATACACACATTTTTTTACAAGGGAAATCTCTGGGGATTTAATTATTTTTCCTCCATATATAATTTTTCCCTATATAGAGAGTGAGATATATATAGACATATATAGAGACACACACACACATGATCTCTAGCTTTTCTGTAAATATCATGCATTATTTGTGTAACAAAAATATATTTTCAGTTAATTCTGACTCTATAACAACTTGAAAAATATCTGTTTCACGAAACGAGGCACCTTAAAAGGAAGTTAAACAGGGAGTAGTCGTCTCTAACGTTTGCTCCCAGCGGACTGTACCCAGCCAGGCTCCTCCGCCCACGGTTCTGGAGGCCATGGCCATGTCCCCACCACCGCTGCCTGGGGATGGGCATCAGCCACCTGGGGCTGGGCCAATGGCTCTGACGGAACAGCTCCATGCACCTGGGGACAGGCCTGCCTCCCCACAAGGAAATCTAACCCTGGAGCCCCAACTGACAATGGCAGCAGCAGGTACCATCAGAGCTTAGCACCCCCTCTTGAGACACAAAACTCTGGGTCTGAAAGGGAGTAACAATTCAGCTAATACATGGTGGATGTTCAGATCCAGGAGCAAAGCAAAACAAAATAGAACACGCTTATTTTTAAAAAGTGGTCGTAACACTCACACACACTGTCACAAATGCACACACACCCTCATACCTAAACTTTCTAGCTCTTACACTCACACACTCTCATGCACATTCACACATCCATGTTTATTCTCACACACTCACATGTGCTCTCACTCACACACCCACATTTTCTCTCTCACATACACTCACACACATATACACTCACACCATGTCCCTGGCACGTGCTGACGCAGAGATGGAACCAAGCTAAGTGCAGAGAGAACAAATCTCCTATAGATGGTGGCCCAGTGCATGGAGGCCAAGGCAGGGCCATCCAGGACTTGGGGCTGTATCATGAGGCTGGACCACATGAAACTGCTGCTCTCAACCGTCCCATCATCCAAGTGGCTATTTTGTGCTGTTCAACATAGCAGTAAAATGGTAGGAGGGTGGGAGGGTGGCTAACTGACAGATCCTCACACACCCCGATATCCCAGAATGGAACCATGAAAAGTAGAGTCACCCACCACAGTCCAATGTCAGGGAGACTTAAAACTGTGGAGGGGATGCAGACCCGGCAGCCGCTGTTCACGTGCATGAGATGCCACCCTAAGCCACAAGCAAGTGCCCTAGACAGGAACTCTGGCTTGCCATGCAGTCTCCACTGCAAAGCCACGACCAGACGCCCAACGGCTAGCCCAGGGATGCACATGCAAAATGGACGAGACCAGGAGGGCCTGAGTATCCTGATGGGCACAGAAGAAGGGGCGGTGGTGACCCAGTGGACATACTGGAGGGCCTGAGACCATCTTGTCTAGATATCATTTGGCAGAAGCATCGGGAACCATCTGTGAGGCAGCACGCTCACCGGTTGGTAGAGCCATTGTAGCAGTAGTTGGGCAGGAAGTCATAGTTGAGTTCCCAGAAGACATGGAGGGTGATTCTCCCGTAAGGTGCCGACATGTTGTGGTTGGCCTCCCGGAACATGGCGTCAAAGCCGTCCAGTGTCAGGTACCTGCTGAGCAGCTTGTGGGTCATGCGGTTGATTTCCAAGAGGCCGTCCAGCTCCTAGGGACCACAAAGACAGGGTGTGAGGACAGAACTGGGCCCAGCACAGTGACCTCCATTCTCCACACAGACAGTGCTCTGTTGGTGGTGGCGGGGGTGGGGGGGAGGCCAAAAACAGAGCCCATACCAAGGAGGGGCAAGCAAGCTACAGCAAGACATGGCAGGGTCTGATAGGCAACACAAGCTTGCTTCTCACATCTAAATTCATTATGCCCTCCCTACTGCCTTTAAAATGCCCCTCCTTACCATGGTCACCCCTACAGGGCCATTGTCCTTTTCCACTGCAGTCACTTCCCCCCTGCACACCACTGGCCTCCAACCACCTTACAGGTCAGAGACCACTGGGACGTGTCCACCACCACATATGTACTCACTGTTAGCCTGAGTCACCTTCTCCAATGCACCTGGGGTTATTCATAAGCACAACAGTGTGGCAGAGCTGGCAAGCATGTTCACAGAAGCTTTCACACTGATTGCTCATAAAAACCTGCCTAGGTCTGTGCTGTCCCCTGCAGCAGCCACTGGCCACATATAGGAACAAGAATGTGGCTGGTCCAAACTGAGGTGTGCTGTGTATGTGAGATACACACCAGATTTCAAAAAACGAGTATGAAGACAAAGAATGTAAGACACCTGTGTCAATAATATTTTTATAATGATTACATGTTGAATTGTTAATTTTTGGATATATTGGGTTAAATAAAATAGATTATTAAAATTAATTTCACCTATTTCTTTTTCCTTGTCTAACTGTGAATATGATTAAATTTAAAATGATCTATGTGGCTTGCATTATATTTGTAATGGGCAGTGCAGGTCTAGGTCAAAGTCTTGACCGATGATTGCAATCCAAATCATATATGGCCAATGACAATTAAAATGCCATGGTCCAAGACCCTACTTGGGGAAGCTCAATCTTTTAGTGTGTCCTGAGGCGACAGCCCCTCACCCCACCAAGGCTTCTTACATTCTCCTGCCCAAAGCTGCTTCTCTAGTAAAGAAGAATCTTCCTTGACTTCTGGCATGTTCACTACCATTGGTGTGCAGCCATCATTCTTGGAAGATCGATTTGGCTTGGCACAAAATCCTTACTTCCCACTTCCTTTCCTTGGCTTCTGGCACAAAGAGCTGCTGGCAGCGGTTTGAGGACAATCGGATTTTCTTTCCCTGACTGCTCTGCTCAGATACCCAGAGGACTTTTTCTTTTCCTCTAAAGTCCAATACTTTTACTGCAATATTCCTTGGTGTCGCCACTCTGGGTCAGTTTTACCAGGCACATGACGCATGCTTTTAATATATATTTATAGTGTGTTTTTTAATCAATATTTTCTTGAAATACAACTTTAATATTTGTTGCATCCATTGCTCTGGTTTTCTTCTTCAGGGACCCCTATGCCATCTATGTTGGATCTTCACTGTCTATCTTCTATATATTTTTCTCTCAAATCCTTTTTCTCTGTCTTCATTTCTTGTTGATTTTTATAACTTTCCTCCTTTCATTCTTTTGCCATAGTTAGGTGTAATTTATTCGAGACTGAGATTAAGTGTTCTTTGAAGTCAATTTAGAACTGTGAATACTAAGAGCAGATGCTTAAAAACATACCCAGGATAGCTGAAGCTCAGTTAGTGCATACTTTTTGATTTCTGTGCAAAAAGTGAACCTACGATTGGTTCAATTTTTCAGTGAGGACATAGTAAAATTAGCTCAAATCCTTGCAGCTAGTCTCCCCCAAATCTATGGAGCCTGAGAAAGGGGAGAGCACTTACCACTATTGATGTCAGGTCCTCACTCTCAAAGCGTCCAATTGCCAGTTCCAGAGACTTACAGATAGCTGCAGAGATACGCTGAGTAATCAGACGATTGAGGTCTACGGACCTGCCCAGGAGCTGGGGTACGGAGAGGGCAGAAAGAGTGACACAAAACAAGCAAGCAAGAAAATATACAGACATACTCCCTCCAGAAACCAATTCTAAAAGATAAATAAATACTGTACAAAACTGTAAACATTTTAGATGAAATTATATATACAGGTGTCACAACCAAATGCCCTACCTTCCTGGAGCTGAAATTCTGCAAGTCAAAGCCGTAAAGAACTTTTGCAGTGTCCTTTGCATTGAACTTATGCTTACATCTCGGGCAGAAATCCCCAAGCCTCACCAGAGACCCTGGAGAATGAGGTCTGTCAGTGAGCACACCCCTCAGGATGGTGCTCATGACCATCTCCCAGCACAGAGCTGCCTGTGCACACCTGACCTCCAGAGTTCTAACAATGAGGAAGAAAATTACCCCACCTCTTGTTCAGAGTCTACCAACATATGTGTACCTCAACATCATTTCAATAGCATAAAAACAGACAAAACCTTGGTGGAAAATGTCCCAAAATGTGAATGGTTGTTATCTGTAGTCACAATTACATGGAATTTTCCCCACGGTTTTCTCTTTCTTCCTAACTTTTTTTGTGATGTATACATACTGTTTTTAAAGAAACAAAAAACAAGCACTGTATTCTTTGTGCTGGCCAAGGGAAAGCGCCTCTCTGACACTCTGAGCTGACAATTGTTTCTCACCTTCATTCTTATAAGCTCTGGCTTTTGGGCTCCTGGAGAGGAGCCAAGCCCTGTGGGGCTGAGCTTGCAGTGGGGGCCCACGGCAGGCGCGGGTGCAGAGCGCTACAGGTCTTCCCTTGTGTTTCAGGTTAGCTAAGAGAAACTGTTTGTCTTTAAAATCTTAACATTTTATAAGGATGTTCCCACAGTCACATAACATATGAAGTCTATTAAAACCTAGTGAGCTCTAAGAAAAGCCCACTATTTCTAGTGCCAGCTCCACACCTCGCCATGCCCAGAAGCCTGGCTCACCTGCACGTGCCTCTGCTTGAGGAGCGTCTCATAGCGGTTAGATGGCGGGAGATGGATTGTCGCCCCCTGATTCTTGCATTCTGATCGTAACCGTTTATCAAGAAGCAAGCTAGTACGGAAGGAAAAGAAGATGTTTCTCACACGCTGTGAATTTTAATGGAAATGTCATGTCAAGTTACCCAAAATTTCATACTCAAATAACAAGGCATATACTCGCCTTCCAGCCATGATCTTATAATATGCAAATATCTGGTCTGCCAGCTTGTAAACAAATTGGTCAAAGCACAGATTCACCTGAAGAAAAAGAGAGCATGTATTAGATTGATTCCCTAAATCAATATCAAATAACACCAAAAAACCTCTTTTGATTCAGCCATTCTACTTCTGGGTATACATATGAAGGAAAGGAAATTACCGTCTGAACAGATATCTATACCCCCATGTTCACTGCAGCATTATTTACAAAACGCAAGACATGGAAACAACCTAAGAGTCCACCAATGGATAAACGGATGAAGAAGATGTAGTACACACACATACACACACACGAAGGAATATTATTCAGTCATAAAAAAGAAAAAACCTTGCCATCTTGTGACAATATGGACGGGCCTTGAGGACATTATGCTAAGTGAAATAAATCAGACAGGGAAAGACAAATCCCATAGGAGCTCACTTATATGTGGAATCTAAGAAAGAAAACCAAGTTCATAGATACAAAGAACAGATCGATGGTTGCCAAAGGGGGGGGGGGGTAGGCAAAATGGTTGAAGGTGATCAAAAGGTACAAATTTCCCATTATAAATAAGTCCTGGGATGTAAAATTTTTAAAAAAGGCAACTTGGGCCAGCCCAGTAGCGCAGTGGTTAAGTTCACACGTTCTGCTTCAGCAGCCCGGGGTTCGCTGGTTCAGATCCTGGGTGTGGACCTGTGTACCGCTTGTCAAGCCATGCTGTGGCAGGCGTCCCACATATAAAGTGGAGGAAGATGGGCATGGATGTTAGCTCAGGGTCAGTCTTCCTCAGCAAAAAGAGGAGGATTGGCAGTGATGTTAGCTCAGGGCTAATCTTCCTCAAAAAAAAAAAAAAAAAAAGGCAATAACAGAGGTTCTTACTAGGAAAGAGAAACAAGAAGCCACCTTATTGTCCAACGACAGCAGATTAAACGTATTATGGTGTGGCCAGGAGTAACCACTGCACAGCCAGTGAAAATAACATCAGACCTTTCTTACTGATGGAGAAAAATGCTAACTATTCTCTGCTCTCAAAGGAATATGAAAAAGTCTGTCTTCGTCTTGTGTTCCCAGGGGGTTAATGTGCATTGCATGTGGGGTCCCCACTCTGGGGGCAGCTTCTGCCAGCAGGCTGTTTCTCAGGAGACACAGACACAGGGCTGGCTGCTCTGGACACTGAGGTCAGTTAGGAGACACAGGGTGGAGACAGCCTTGCAACTTCACCCTCGAAACCATATCCTCACTCGCAAAGGGGGCTAGCACCCTGCCCCGGAACTGTGATGAGAACGCCGTGTGCTCAGAGGAGAGTGGCCCCAGGACCTGCAGGTCTCTGCCCTGCGCCCACCCTGCATTACCCAGGAGCCCATGAGAGCTCCCTAAAGAAGCGCTTTCTGGTGGTCTTTGTGAGGAGGTGGAGAAGGAGACCCAGCTGCACAATACAATTTGTTGAGGTTAAGTTCTCTTAAATCTTAAGCTAGAAAATAAGATTGATCTCCTTAGTTGTGTATACATAGACTTAATAATTCCACTTGTAGGAATTTGTCCTCGAGAAATAATCCAACACAACTAAAAAATTATGTGCCCAGAAGTTAATCAAAGCATTATTTATAATAG